CTGGGGTTCCAGAGCAGTCTGTGCCTGGAAGGCCCCCCAGTCTGGAAGCTCACCAGGCCACAGAACCAGGAGCCATAGGGAACGGGCTTTTCAGTGGAGCCAAGACTGAACTCTTGCAGGAGTGGCCTGGAAGGGAAACACTCCTGATTCTAAAAATGAAAGCCCCATGTCCCATCAGAACAGGGCAGGGAGTTTACCCATGCCTCACTGGCTATACAAAGGTGTCACTCAAGGAACCAGTAGCTGCTGAGACCCTGCAGCCAGAGGATGGCCATATTTGGCCATTCTGCTCATAGCTGGCTGCTCAGTCCTGCCAGGGCCAGCAGCCACCAGGCACACAAGTCACTGAGGTACCTATGCAGTGACAGCAGTCTGTCTCCTGAAGACCATGGCAGCTTTGTGCAAAGAGCATGGGCCGTGCAAAGACACTGTGGTTAATGAATGGGGCCTGCCCACAGAAGGGGAGATGGCAGCCAGGGTGGAGTACAGGGCATTAAGAGGGTCTTAGCCTTGGTGGGTATTTTAGATACTATTCCCAAAATGATGAGGCTCTGCAGGAGTATTTAAAATGGGAAAAATATACTATCTGATCTAAGGTGGGGGGGGTTGTGCATATGTATACATATGTACATGCATGCATACATACATACACACACACATACACACACACACACACACACACACACACACACACACACACACAATGAAGAGCTAATTCAGGTGGTACCCAGCATCAGGTCTCTATGGGTCTTGGAGGGGAATCCTGAGTCCTAGGTTGACATACAGGTTTTTCTCTGTATGGTCTCCAGAACCATGCTGGTTGCAGGGTCAGGGTGGAGAGCCTGCGGGACAGTACGTGGAGAATGGCACCCAAATGTTTTCCATTTTCCTTGGCACTTAAGCCCTTCTCCTCAGCTGTTAGCTTGAACAGGCTTTCTCCCAGAGTGCTGTGAGCCACCCTACCACTTGCCTTTCTGGAGATGCCCAGCTGGGCTCATGGAGGGAGGCCTCAGGCCATAGGGGCAGAATCCCTAGGTTCTTCAAAGCTCCAGAAGGAAGGAGGCTGCTGTCCCTCCCCCATGGGCCTCTGACTCTCATCTGCTGAGTGCTCCTGACAGGACTGTCCTGCTAACACCCACATGAGGGCAGGGTGCACATGGCAATATCTGTGTTTATGCATTGGATTCCCAGAATGCAGTAGGCTCAGTGAGGTGCAGGCGCTTTCTCCCAAGCTCACAGGCTTGCAGGCCCTGCTCTGTGCCTGGGCCCTCTCAAAGGAACTTTTTCTCATGAGTCTGGATGTGTTGAGGCTGTGGCCAACACCAACATTGCAAGTGAGGATGGCAAAGCCAGCAAGGGAATCTGTTAAAGGACCCTTTGTGGGCTCAGGATACTAAGACCCACCCCACCCGGGGTCTGGGTACCTCTGACCCCACTCTGTGCACGGTTCCCTCATTTCTGCTGGGAGCGATGGTCACTGTCATCAAGGCAAGGTGCTTCTGGCACCATCTTCTTGAAGTGTGCTTGGCAGGTAGCACATTGGATGGTGCTTAGGCAACATTGTGGGTGACTTATTGCAAGGTAATGAGACGATTTAATTCGAATCAGGTTCTCTGCTCATGATTGTTTCCATCAGGAAGAAGTTGTATTGCTTATCACGTTAGCAACAAGGAAGGAAATGGTCGTAATAAACACCTGCAGGGCGTTTTCATAATTGCCCATCTGAGAAATGGCTTCTGCAAGCATGCATCTGAGGAGGGCATATGCAGTCCCCAGGGGCAGGGATGGCACAGTGATGCCTCCATTCATCCAGAGAAAGAGTGGCTCCCAGGAGCCAGGAGGCGTGCAGTCCATATCTGTACGCATCGCTTCCCACAGGTGGCACAACTCTGACTCCCAGCAGCATCCTTGCTAGACTGTCACTGAAAGGCCAAGAGGCACTGGCATGAGACTTAGTAGCCCAGAAGCAAGAATGCCTGACCAATCATGTTCCAATCAGCAAGCAGGGATTAGAGGATGGCATCATTTGTGGTTAAAGCTGAGGACCCTCTCCTGTCCACCAACAGGCTTCCAAGCCTTCCCCTAGTCCAGGCTATTCTGCCCCTGCCCACCCGCAGACAGGTCCTCGGTGCCAATCTACAACCAGCTCTACCTCCATGAACTGGGCCGTCTGCCCACACCGGCAGCAAGAGGGCCTGGCTGGCATCTCTACCAGCTGAGCTGGGACACCTGTTAAGTCCTGGCCTATGCCCCAGCATCTCCCTACCCCCCACAGAGGAGCTGACAGCATCCTGCACGGCCTCATCCTTCCTGATTGGCAGAGTCCAGAAATTTCTAGGGCATCCACTGTCACTGCTGCTCCCTGGAGATGCGTCTTTCTAATAGTACTTCAGTTCCTGCACTGCCCGGCCCAGAGATAAAGTAACAGGAGCAGTGGGGATGCCACGCTCAGCCTTCTGCCCTGGACTGGAGATGCTGTAGGCAGATGATCTTGGCTTTCCATTGCATGCCTCTTGACAGAAAGCAGTCCACTTCCCTACGGCCCATCCTACTGCTAGAGAATGTTTGCAGTGTGCCCACCGCCCTTACTCAGCACTCCTTTTGGTCATTGGAGGTGCCTAAAATACGCTTTCCCTTGAACCCGTTCAGCTGAGTCACTGTGGGCACTGTCTGGAGGTGCCCTCACACACTTCTTAGCAACCAGCAGCACTTGAGGATTCTCCTGAGGTGAGAAAAAATCTAACTTGCAAGTGATTTTCACACCTGAAGGAATGATGTTTACAGATACCAGATTTAACGAGAAATGGAGTTGACCCCAGGTGAGATTCCAGAGACACTTAATCAAACGGCAGGCTGGCTTCCATGTTGTTGCTTAAACCCTGTGGATTTCAGAGGCGCTGAATGTATTTCCCAGCTTGCAAATAAGCTTGAGAGTTGAAGCCAAAGCCTGGGGACAGATGGAGTCCCCACTCATCTGCATGACTGTGGATACCACCCTGCCACCTCTTGATGGTAACCTCCACACCTCCATGGACCCAACTGGCCAGAGTTCATTCCAGTGGGTCTGTGAAGTCCCTTTCTGCAAGCCTCTATGTGCTGGTGCAAGGTGCCTTCCTGATGTCTGGGTTCCTGCAACATGCAGCTCTTGCATGGGACCTGCCTGACTTGAGCTCCCACCATGACCCCTTGGAAAGCCATAGATCTGTGCCCTCTGTCACACCCATGGGCCACTTCCAACACACAAAATAACATCCACAGCCTCCAGAGAGCAGGATTGGGCCCAGGGAGGGTTCTGAAGGGAGAAGTATCTGGCTTTCACCCCAGGACTAAGTAGGGATTCAACCACTTGTGTGTCAACCCCACTGAGGGAAAGAAATAGCCCAGATGTTTATCTGTCATCTTTGCCTTCCTGGGGCCAGCTGGAGCTGTCGCAGATTCTAGCATCTTGCAGCCTGGGTTCCCGCACTGGCTGTGTGTGTGCAGGTGGAGCCCCGCATCCCTAGACATCAGGCTGGGATCCCTGCTCTGCAGCCTGCTCATGCCTCACAGACACAGCCACCAACTCTTGGGCATGGTGTCCCTCTGTCTTCTCCATGGAGAGGCCATCTGGACCTCACAGCATCACCTCCTCTGTTGTCAACCAACCAGGTTTCTGTGATGGCCACATCCATTTATCTTCCTGATTCCACCAGCCAGATCCAGAGGTCAAAGGCATAGGCAGTCCTGCCCCTTCTTCTACCTCCCCAGCAGGCGAGGGTTCCTGGCCCCTTTATGGCCCCTCTTGTTTGACTGCAATTCTCTCATGACTCTTAGCTAGTGACCGCATCCCTCTAGACCCTACTTAGCCTCTGTGGCTTCTCCCCGATGTCTTTGAACCTCCAACCCCCTCTGCTTCTTTCTTGTAAGGACATGAACCTTGGTCCCATGGGCTTCTAACCCAGAATGCCCATCTCTAGAAAGGCCCTGCTTCCAAGGGACAAGGAAGTAAGGGTGTCTGTCTGTATGTGGGGGAGGGACTATTGAACCAACTTATACTCCACTTCTCAATAGGTCCAGACTGAGCCTAGTCTATTCTCTCCAAGATGCCAAGCACTCACTAGGCTATCAGCTGATGCTTAGTAGGTGTTCACTACAAATGCCTAGCATATTAGTTAATATACTAATGAGGCAACTTCACACAGACCCCAGCTACCTCTGGCCCAAGGTTAGAACTCCAACTCAGATGATCAAAGAAAAAAACAAAGCAACTTGATTGACAGGATTGCCATCCCCACAAGGACCCCAAGAGAGGCTCAAGTCCACATTAACAACCCTATGTACAGGGTCAATCTGCCTATAGTGGTCCTGCCCTTAAAGACTGGCTTACAGTCATGTGGGACACCTCTTGTTTAGTCTCCTCAGCCAAGGCCTGACTGCCCATGTCCTCCTGTAGGAACTGCTGCACTACAAGGAGCTATCAAATGCCAGCTGCCATGTGGTTATCTGCAGCTTTCCCTAGCCTAGCATGCTGCCCCACAAGAGGAAGGTGCCCCCCGGGCCACTCTAAACAAATAAATGCCACTGTGGCTTGGCCACTTGGGATTCTACAAAATGGACACCAGCAACCCCTTCAGACATGCCATGGGGGTGAGGTCCTTCAGTCTACTCTATGGCAGACCTCAAACCCCCACAACACTCCACATGCACTTGGTCAGTTGACACAGGTGGGTCAGGGGGATAGGAGCAAACATGGCTACCTTCTGTGTGTGGTTTCCAGAGGTCAATGTGTTTCCCATAAAAACAGCTCTTCTATTCTCCATGGCAACTGATGGACCTGGCTGTACTTTTATATAAACTAGGAAAGGAACCTGGCCCCTCCTCATGGCCACAATGCACACATGATCACATAGATGAACTATGGGTGGTCTCTGACATGTACTGTGTACGACCTCTGCAGCTGTACCGTGCCCCATACCATGTCTGCTGCAGCTAAATGTTGACAAAGGAGGACATACATGGGGTGCATTAGAACTCCAGAAAACGAGTCTGGAGAGCATGCTTCTGGCTTGTATTTGTGTCCAGTCACCAGACACTGGGATTTTTAAAATAGGGCACTTGGGGATCTTTGTTTCCTGGATACCCACAGTGAATGTTTTAGACCCCTGGTCAGTGATGGGTGAGGGAAGAGGGCTCCAGCAGAAGCCTGAGCAGGGTCACCCAGGAGCAGTGTGAGGAGTATGGGAGCTTCAGGTATGTCCCAGTGGAGTGTGGGCAGTGGTCTTTGGGTCCAATCTGGAGGGTAGATCAGCTGGGGCAGCCAGGCAGGGGCTGCCAGGGCCTTAGGCAGTGTTAGCCCTGTTTCTGGGAAGGTGCTGGGGCAGCCAGCAAGGCTGAGATGTGCTTACCCAGGATCAGGTCACCGGTCAGCAGGAGGAAGGACAGGAGACAGAGTCCAGGATGGCCCTCCCCACTGCAGCCATGCCCAGCGTCTCATACCCAGTTCCCCTCTGCTACGTGTCGCACTCCTGCCTCGGGTTCTGCCAGCCCCCGAGGATTTGGGGTGTTCGCAATAGCAGCTCACTATCTCTCAGGAAATGGGGCCCCTTGGGGAGACGGGGTGTTTGTTCCTGGGTCATAGCAAAATAGGATACATGGAAGCTTGAGGGCAGGGTTCCTGGCAGTAGGTCTTCCCACAGTGGTGCCTGTCAGTGGAGAATGACTTTCCACCAAGTCTTTACCCACACTCTTCAGGCTGGTGGATGTCTGAATTTAGGCTTTAGGCCCAAGGTCTGTTGATGGGTAAGGGCGGTGTGTGTATGGTGGGGCTTTGCTCCTGAGAAACATCACAGAGAGGAGGAGGAACTGGAAGCCGTCTTCCAGGAATGGGAGGCTCAGAAGAGGAGGTCTGTCTGCACACACAGGGCTGTCACAGCAGGAAGCAGCTGGAAAGATCAGAAAGGAACAGAATCTGGGACAGGATTCTGGCTTGGGGTTGCAGAAGAGGGTCAATAATAACGTTGATGCCACTAATGGTGACTCTTTAAAACTGAAATATTCCCTGTATGATACAGCTGACTGCCCAGCAGGGGCCGCCCTTGAGAGTGCAGGGTCTCAAGGGGGAATTCAGCACCCTCCTTCTGTCCCCCTCCATGGTCATACCTGTGGTTGTGGATCTCATTCTGTGGAGCAGGATGGGAGGCGTCAAAGGTCAGGGTGACCTTGGGCTCAGAGTCACACTTTGCTTTGCAGTGACACCCCTACCCCCACAAGCAGTCAGGAGGAGACACCCAGTGTCCATTCAGCACCACTGGCTTGAGAGGTCGCTGTGACTGTGGTGAAAGGGTGTATTCAGGCTCTGCTGGCTGATGGAATGCGTTCTGGGAGCCCTCCATGGCTTCTGCCCCGAGCCAGGCCAAAGCCAGTGCTGTCGGTCACCTGTGTCCAGGGGACCGTGCACACATTGTGTCTGAGACCCTCAAGTCAGAGTAACCAGCCCTCAGATGCTAAAGCACATGAAGAGGCATGGATGTGCTGAGCAGCAAAGACTTAGAGAGACCCCTGTGGCTAAGAAGGCAAGAAAACAGTTCACAGGGTTCCTATTGTCTGGCCGCTGAGGGAGCCCTGAGGCCAAGACAGGTAGCTTCCCTTGGGAAGTTGGAGGAGAAAGGGTATAGTTAAAAGGGGTCTCCAGTAACCTGAGTCTATATTCTAGATACCAAGCGCAGGCACAAAAGTGTGAAGTTGGAAGGGTCTGGCACAAGCTTGCTTCACCTGGTGTCTTATAGTGCCCCTGAATCCATAGCAACAAGTCCCGCCCCATCCCAGCTCTCCTTCCAACCAGTCACGTGGTGGCAGGATCTGGCTACCAGCCAGGTCCTCTCCAGTTACTGACCATACTTGAAAGGGGTTCCCTGGGGCCTTGTCACTAAACCACACTATCGTGGGTACTGTGGCATCCAACCACAGCAGCCCCACGTGACTGTGGGCTGTCCTCACAGCGTGTTGATATGGGAAGTAAAGGACTAAGGGCCTGTCTGTTTCTTCCTATAAGCCAACTCAGTGACTCACCATGGGCTCTCATCACCCTGATGGTGCAGGGGGCTTTGAGACCTGAGTAAAAGGGGTCTCACACCTGTGCCCGGGATCCAGGAGGCTGGTGGGATGTCTCAGCGGACAGAGCAAGGTTTGAGATTAGCTTCTCAGCTGTCTTCTCAGACGTCTGTGTCTAGACATCCTACCTAGACCATTGTGCTGGCAGCTTGTGTCACTGCCCAGCCTATGTTGCCTTCCACATAGCCAATGCCCTGAATGCAGACCGCCCCCACCCCAGAGAATTACTTAGCATGACTCTGTGATGGGTGACTCCTATATCTCCACATCATCAATCTTACCTGACCAATGAGAACCTTGAAAAGCCACTGCTCTGTCCTCACCTGAAACAGGTGTGTCTAACCAGCAGACCACTGGCCACACTTACCCAAAGCAGCTTTAATAGGGCCAACTCAGAATTAGAAACTTATTCAAAAGTTGTAAGATTCTTTTGCCATATTTTTTCCTTGTAACTTTATTGCATGGTTCTTAAGTATAAACTTGTAACTGGTAATGTCAACATAGTGTTACCATGACAAAAGGTTGGGCTGGCCTGCTAGGCTGGTTAGAAGGGGCTGCCCTGCTTCTCCAGCTCCAGGGTGCCCTCTCCTGATTGGCTGCTGTCTGCAGGCCAGACCCTAGGTCCTGTGCTTTCTGTAGACCGCAAACCAAAGAGAATTGACTGTCACCACTGTGGGCCTCAGAGCCCATCATTGCTCTTAACTCCTTTCTTCCTCTGTGTCTCATGGCTCTGATACTCCTTCTGTTGGGATTTCTGACCACCGTGTCCAATGTCCTCACACCTCCCACTGGGGCTTTAGAGAAGAAAGCCCTCTTCTTCCTTCTCCAGGTCCCAACCCCCAGACTTCCTGCCTTCTGACTTACTTCCGGGGGGCGGGGGCAATGACTGAATCTGAGATGCAGACATTCCTGTCTCCTGCCCTTCAGCAGCCACCAAAAAGGCCTGTGGGGACCACACTTGGTGACTCCCAAGCCACTGGGTATCAGCTTGCTGTCCTGTGTGCCCTGTGCACACACCAGAGGTGGACGGTCAGAGCTCTGTTAATGTTGGTGATAGACGACTTTGGCAGCAACCGTGAAGTTAGGGCTTTTTAGTCTGTTTCCTTTAAAATGGAAATGCTATACAAAGAGGTGAGCACTGTGGCTCTCAGTCCTCCTTGCGGTGGGGACACTGCTGGCAGCTCTGTCCTCAGCAAGGCATCATCCTCAGGAGGGAGCTGCTGCCCTTCTTGGCTCTGGTGGGACTGAAATGGCCTGAGCCCCTCACCCCCACCCCTCACTCTTTCACCCCTCAGCCTTGGCCTCTGTGGTCTGGAGGGACACAGAACTGGCAGCTCCCCCCACCTCCCCGCCCCTCCCGCCGGTCACCAGCCCAGCCTGCGGATCCTCTGCGCGCGGGATGACGCCCAGGCAGCCTCGCCGGTCGCACTGTGGGCTCATCAGATGACTGTGGGGGCTCCTGCTGCACACTACATTCCCTAGGACGGGGGAGAGGGAGGGAGGGGGCGCTGGCTGCAAAGCACAGGTCTCTGCGTCCCCAGTGCCTGCTGCTGGCTCCTGCACAGAACAAGCGGAGAGAACCTGGTCTCTTTAAACCCCTTCAAGAAAGAGCAAAGCAAAGCAGCTATCTTGGTTATTCCTCCGGCTGATTTCTTCTGCTTCCCTGGAAGATGCGTCTGGCCGAGACAGGCCTGGGGACCTCCTTCACCACGCTGCTGCCTCTGCCGCCGCCACCACCACCCGGGCCACTTACTTTCTTTGCTCTGGGCGGTGGCGTCCTGGCCAGCACCCAGGTCCCTTGAGCTGGGCCCCCTGCTTCCCCAGCGGCCTGGGCAGCCCCTCCAGCATCCATGACTCCTTCCCCCGGCTGGCTCCCGCACCCGCCGCCCCCCTCCACATCCCACTGTGCCCCGCTCGCCCATCCTGCTACCCCCCCCACCCCCAGCTCCTCCTGCACCGAGCTGCTGCCCAGGCTCCTCCATGCTGCCTGGATCCGAGCTGGGTGATTAATTGGCTGTGATGATGAGCGTCCCCGGCGGTGGAGCAGCCACCGTGATGATGACCGGTTACAATAATGGTCGCTATCCCCGGAATTCTCTCTACAGTGACTGCATCATTGAGGACAAGACGGTGGTCCTGCAGAAGAAAGACAACGAGGGCTTTGGATTTGTGCTCCGAGGGGCAAAAGGTAAACGTTCCGGGATTCCTTCATGTGGTGTGTGTGTGTGTGTGTGTGTGTGTGTGTGTGTGTGTGTGTGTGTGTGTGTGTGTGTGTGTGGTGCACGCACGCTTGTATGAAGAACCTTCCCCAGATTGGAAATAAGCATGAAACAAGCATTTTCCTGGGGGCACTTGGTTGCTAGACAACGATGCTCTTTAACATTCTGCCTTCCTCAGAAAACATCTAGGCTTCCTGCAGGCATGTTTTTAATTTTCCATCTACAGTACCGCTCCAAATGAGCTGCCTTCCCTCCCCCCACCTTTTTCTCTCAGTCCTGGGGAGACCCTGCAGCTTGGGCTTCAGTTCAGTCACAGTGTGCCGGCTCTCAAAGCTCCTGGTCTCAGATACCCAGAATGGCCCAGCCCAAGTTTGAGGTACCCGGAAGCTGGCCTGTGCTGGGGACGGGTTTCAGCTCCAAGCATGGCAGGTGTCCAGATACTCACCTCTAAGGTGACTTTGCAAAGGCAAGGAGGAAAGAAGGTCCCCTCTAAGCTGGCGGTGCACACACCCTGTGGCCTGGGAATGGGAGACTCTGGGACACAGCCCAAAGCAGTACCCCATGCTCACTCCTACCGTGGGGCTTCCCTTCCCAACTACAGCAAAATGGCATCAGCCCTCCCAAGAAGAGGCATCTGCCCGAGGCAGGTGGGGGTCAGCCATGTGGCAGTTGTACCTGTGCGGGAAGTCTCCTTCCCTGGCTAGCCTGCCCACCTGTCATAGGCTCTGGCCGCCCACAGCAATCCATCCAAAAAGAGAAGAGCAGAATCTTCTCCACCCCCAGGGTGCAGGTCCATGCCTGTGTGATGTACCTTCCCCTCCCCCAACCCGGGCATCACACCTTCCCACCCATCCACCCCCGGCCCCTCAGGAGGACAAGAAAGTCCCTCAGCAGCCCCGTGGGCCCCAGAAGCCCAGCCTTGCTCAGCTGAGAGGCATGCTGGTCATGTGATGGTCACAGAAAGCCAGGTCCCCCCTGGAGAGACTTCAGAACAGATTCCAAATCAGCAGCCACCCACTGGGTCAACATTGTGCTCTGTCCCTGTTCCAAGTTGAATCCCCTGGGTTGCGAGTCTGTATAGCTGTGAAATTGGCAGGCGGTTTCAGTATGGTCTTTCCCTAGCTCTGTGTGGTAGAGGAAGGAACTTTTCCATTTTTAGAACTGAAAATGTTTAGTCATTGATACTTTTAAAGAAAATGACAGACGTGTAGACATGCACGGCAGAGTACTTTATTTCATGGCTCCAGCAGGGAGGCCAAGAGGCATGATGGGGTACTGGCATGCACCTGGCTCTGTGGCTTATATTAGTGCTGGTGTGTGTGTGAGTAATGAGCCCAATCTGGGGATGGCTAGCCATGATCACTGCTTCCCAATGGAGAATGCAGTGACTGGCTTCCTCCCAGGGTCCCGTGGGCAAGTGGGACAACCAACTTGGAAAACATCCCCCAGACTACTGACACAGTATTTCTTTGTCTTCCTAGCTGATACCCCCATTGAGGAATTCACACCTACACCGGCATTCCCAGCCCTGCAGTACCTGGAGTCAGTGGACGAAGGTGGGGTGGCATGGCAAGCCGGACTAAGGACCGGGGACTTCTTGATCGAGGTAGGAAACAGGTGTTTATATCATGCTGCTTGGGGAGAGCGCCGCCTCTCACACCTCTCACATGGGAGAGGGTTGTGGTTCTGAGCACACCTGCTAGGATGGTAGATGACTTAGGCCATGTGGCTTATATTCTTAGAGTGCTCTCACCCTCTGTGAATGCTGTTTCTGCTACCCCTGATGTTTGGGTGTCTTCGTAGTTCTTTGGGAGGACAGAAACATACATGGAACTTGGCCACTGGTCTTCAAGAGGAAGATGGAGACATTTTCATGATGCTGGGGCCACACACAGATCTGTGGGTGGCTTAACTGTGACTATAAATAGGAGGGGAATCTTTGCCCACTTCTGTGTCCTAAGGGCAAGTCACCATGCCTTTGTGTTGTATTGGCTAGCGTGAGGTATGCTGTAGGTAGTTAAGCGTTGTTTGGTCTTTGTTCATTACATGGTTGATAGTCTTTAAGGACCACAGAGCACAGGGCAGAGGCAGGGGAATGGAATGGGCAGAGAAGAATCTGTGATTCCAGAAGTTTTAAAAACTAGCTTCGGTTCATACCCAGAAGTGGGGTGATGTGAGGAACCTCCTTGTGTTGCAAGCATTGGTGCCTGTGATCTCCACCTGCAGTTGTATGTCGGTGCCAGTGAGATAGCCGCATCGTGCTTCAGGGCATCCTGCCCGTTTGTAGGGTTACGTGTTGCTTTTGATCTTGCTGTGCGAGAGAACTTGTTACTCTTTGGAAGCATGGTGAATGAAAGAATATCCAGTAGGTTGGAAAGACGGCTTTTTTAGTGATCTGATAGACCCAAATGGGCCTTGTCAGGAGTTTTTGTTTCCCTGTATTCACTCTGAGTCTGGCCTCAAGTTTGTTGGAACTCTCACACAGGTGGAGATAGTGAACAGGTGCACCTCACCAGCCAATGACGCCTCCACTCCCTGGGTGACCTCAACCCATATCCATTCTGTAAAAAAGGACACCTTTGCCTGTCCCAGTGAGATGGCACTTGAAAGCTTTATTCCACCATGTTCCACGTCAGCTGCCCATTGTCGTTTCTGTCAGTGGCATTGTTCCTATCTCTCTGGAGTTTGCCCACACTGGTAAGGGGGTGGCAGGAATGGAGAGAGAAGAGAGCACAACTCTTAGGGCAGGAGGCAGGTACGGACTCATGTGTGGCTCTCCTACCATTGTTGAAAGTTGCTTTAAATTGCTCTTGACCTCTGAGAGCCTGGTGTGAATGAGGCAGAAGCTAATTCAGGTTCCTGTGTGTTGGAGACCTCGGAATCTCTTCCAGAATGGAGAAGCTGGAGCTGGCTGCGACTCCTTGAGTTCATGGGGTTTGTAACCCTCCTGGAAATGCAGACTAGGTTGAATCATCTCTGTAGGATGCGGTTGTGACGCAAACCCTCTTCCTGTGTGTGAGAGACACTAGAGACAGAGGGGGCGTGGCCTGGGGCTGGGGCTCTGAGTGCTGTGTGGGTGGCCCTGCGATGGCAGAGAGGGGGCTCCCGGAGGTTGAAATGGGTTTCAATAATAAATGAGGGCTGCAGATGGACGCGCACCCCCTGATGTTCAGTTCATTTGACTGTTTCCATGATAAACTAGTCAATAAAAGAAGCCTGGGCCTCTGAGGTGGAAGTGCCTGGGGCAGCACTTTTTCTGGGGTTGCCCCGCATACCACCCCCACTATTTTCTGTCCTTGTAGAAGAACTTCCTTTGACTTTAAAAAAAATCTCTGGTTACTTGTCTGTTTGCCTTTTGGGAACAGGCATTTTGTTCTGGTGGCTTCTTAGTTCCAGGATTTTAGGTTTGTCTTGCTTGCCCCCAAGGTTCCCCAAGCTGTCTGTGGTTCTGTGATTTTGTGCATGACCTATGGAAGGACTATGGTCCCCCAAGGCTGCTTATCACAGTCCTGTGTTGTTGACAGGGCTGTGGGGTACAGAGATTTTGGCCCCTGGGGGTGGGGAACAGGCTCCTCCTCTTCTACTTCCCAAGCTGCCTGGGGTGGAACTCAGAATTTCTGTTAGGTACTTGGATTTAAGTCTTTCCCTCCCCCATGTGTTGTTTCCTTGGCTGCTGGCTTTTGCCACTGGGATATTAAAATCATTTATAAGCCCTTACACAGGCGTGTTCTTCCCAGGGGACAGCTTCTCTGTATTTTCAGTGAACAGCTTTCCATCTTGGAGGGATTGTTTTTTAAAAGCTTTATATGTTCCCTTATGAATCTGTGTGGGGTGAAGCTGTCCCATAGAGCACTCCATGAAGCCTGGGGTGTCTGTGGACAAAACTCCCCCAAGCGCTGGTATGTGGCCCTCATCCACCAAACCCCACCCCCGCCTTGCCCCTTGGCAAGCCTTCTCTCTGCTGCCTGGAAGAATCTGCAGAGAGTATCAGACTTCATATTTTCTCTCTAAAAATCCCGTGCTGTGGTTTGAACCTCGGGACCTGGTGCAGGGGGTGGGGTAGCACACTTTAGAAGTGAGGGTTGACTTTTAACATCTCCAGAGTATCCACAAGGCTCACTCCTCTCTCTTTAGCTCGGTCAGATTGCCCTGACATTGTCATCATGCCTAGTGCTAGAAGGGTTTCCTTTGCATAGAATGTTCTCTGGTCTCTCCCTTCTAGAATTTCTTTCTCTCCTGATAGTGTGAAGGGTAGAGGTTTTTTTTTCTGTTGTTTTGTTCTTTCCTTGATTACTACACTTCTCCCCCAAAACAATCGTAAGATTTGAGTAAAGCCCTGTCAACTTTTTAAATCTTTTAATATTTACTCAGTGTATGTGTGTGTGTGTGTGTGTGTGTTCACACTTGTGCATACGTACACATGCGTACCACAGTGCACAGGTGGAGGTTAGAACTTACAGGGATCAATCGTCTCTTTCAACCATGTAGATTCCAGGGATCAAGTCAGGTTCTCAGATTGGGTAACAACTGCTCTTACCTACTGAGCCTCCTTGTGAGCCCCATCAATAAGCTATCTTGAAGTCAGGGATGAAAAAAAAGGACCCCCAGGGTCAGCATGTGCACTCAGCTCTCATAAAGAGATCAT